AATGGCGGTGACAATGTTTTAGCGAAAGATCAAGTAGAAAATCTACGTGGCTTTATCATACGATGATATTTGAAAAAAGAATTTAGTAAAATTGTTACGAAGTCCATGTCCAACTTAAATGTTGGTTAGCAAATAATGTTAACTTTTTTTGTAGGAATAAGGCAAGTTTAAGAACGTTCAAAACTGGAAGTTGAGCAGCTCATCGGATATTATTCCACTTACCATAATCGGTGATTTTTTGGAGTTTTATTTCCTTATTTGTTGTAAGAAACCTTAAGAGATAAAACCTTAATAGAAATAAATATATATTTAACTACGTTAGCTTAGGTTATACCGGCAGTCCAAAGAATTCATTTAGTGTTAACGTATAATGGAAAATTATGAGGTTCAAAAACAACCTTGCACCTTTGTCAAAACTTAAAATGCTATTTATTGGGAGGTCTTGGAGTTGGCCAACACCCTCAAAAAAGGAGGCCCCTAGAATTATAAAACGGCGCTTCGCATGCGCTGTGTAAAAACAAAGCAGATGTGATGTATGATCCTCTCTACAACTATAACACAAATAATTTGAATGGAGATTCAATCTTCTTGCGTGGTTCCTTAATCAGCTGTAACTTATGAGAAAAAAAATTAGCACAGGTTTCTTCTAGAAGTCAACCGTTGGCAGTCACAAAAAAAATGCTTAAGTGATTCTTTCTATCGTAAGTTCCACAACGTCTACAATAAGTGTTAAGAGTAATGCACTGTAGAAAGTCTTTAATGATGTTAAAAAAAATCTTCCACGACTGTAAGAAGGCATACAAAACCGGGAAAAATTTTATATGCAAATATTAATATTAGCAAGCAACAAATTATGTTAATTTTCTGTACTCTTAGAGAAGTATTAGTTGTTCTTTCCACACCCTAAGCTATGTTGTTCATATAAGATTCCCAAAAACGTATATAAATTTGTGGTTCATAGTTTGGCTAATGGGTTATTCATAGTTGTACCATATTTGGTTTAGTAAATACGAGACATAGCGATTATATCATAATTAACCAGTTGGTAAATGGGTAAAAAAAGTTTGGGTTTTGATTTAATTTAGTGTATCTCCAGGTGAAGCGATTCAAAATATTTGAATTGTTTAACAGTCAATAGTAACTTAAAATGTTGCTATAGTACTTTTTATTATAATTTTTCAATAGTATAAACAATTTGACTATTTCACTGTGAAATATATTTGTGCATAAGAACTTCTATTTCATTTAATTATGCTTCACTTTTTTCCCTATTTTTTTAAAAGTTTTTTTAGTGTATTTTAAAGTCTATTAAAATAAAAATAAACACATACATCTCCAAACAAAATAAAATAAGTTCAAATTAATAAAACAATCTGACTGCAAAGTTTATTAGTTCAGTCAGATATTCAGCGCCTGAATGACTTCATAACTCTAACAGAACATTAACAGTGTATGCTGTACGAGTAATGTCATGTGCATGTTATTAACATAGTATTTGCGAGTAAACATAACATTTCTGCTTGTTCTGCTTGTTCTGCTTATTGTTGATGAATAGGCAAAGGCAACACTTTTGGATCGATATGCTGAGGTTTTGGTGATAATTCTTCCACGTACGTGCCTTTAACTGATTTTTTAAGTTCTTAAGGCATTCATTCCTGTAGACATAAAATATACAAAATTAACAACACGACATAAGTTATGGGATAAACATGCAAACATTGCTGCATGCCTAGTCACTTGTAAACGTACATTAATTCATTTTTTGAGGAAAAATATCTCAAAAGCGTGCTTGGCTTATATGTACCACCTTAATTAAAATTCAAATTAAGCGTAATAATTGCAGATACACAGTTCTTGTTGTACTCTTTTTATAGAGTAAAGTGAATATTATCATAATTTTGTTTAAATTTACTTCTAAGAAATGCTAAGGGCAGCTTGTATAAAAAAATTGCCTACAACCCTACACAGAATCACAAAATCACACACTCATTACATGCAATTGTTCTTTTAGACTTTATTTTTTTTGCTGATGAGATCTATTGTAGGCTCCCAAATAATCTAAAATGTGCTTATGCCCCACAATTACATAAACACAATGATTACGCATGTTTTTGTTGCTCTTGTTGTGCTATTCTTATCGAATTTGTTGGTGCATTGGGCATTAGCATTACAACACGACGGTACGCGGTACACGGTACTGGAAATAGCAAATATAGCTTATTTTCATTTCCATATTTAAATTTCATTACTCTGCCCATAATTAAATTATCAAGCCAACAACCAACAACAAACAACAAACAACCAACTGGCGAAAATACAACAAACGACAAATAGCAACAAAAATTGTAGAACAGTAAACTCGGAGAATTACAGATTTTGTGCTAATAGTCGTGAATCGCAAATTGCCTAACAACTTTTACGCTTTGACGTTCGATGGGTGGTTCAGTTTGTTGGACTTGAAATTAATTTGAAATGTGTTCATTGTTTCGCCGTTCGTCTGCCCCTCGGTCCCTCAGTCCCTCAGTCCATCGGTTCCTCAGTCTATCGGTTTTCCGCACATGCACCTACACAATGGCGTGGCGTGTAGAACACGAGTGCTAATGCGAATACATAATAAGCTAGCATTCTATAGTGCAGTGTTTTAAGCTTTTCTTATCATTATTTACTCATATTGTGCTTACATACACACGTATATACATACGTAGGTATATGCGCATGTATATTTCCATACATGAATTGTTTTGTTAAATTTTACTGCATATTCATTTCATACCAGTCGATTGTTTTTATTGTTTACGACACATCAACCTTAGTAGACACTTAGTTTGAGTGGCTTCCTCGTAAGCTATTTCAGTCATCTTTTTATCTAACCATTTCATTGTTATTATTTTTGTTTTTGTTTTTGTTTTAAGTATTGTTGTTGCTTTTGCTTCGCCACCCTAATTTGTCAGTGCTCTTTAATCTCCCTATGCAGGCGTCTTAACCGCTTCACAGCTGTATTTACCCCCGCTAACTGACATCAATGTAAATCACTTCAGCGGCTTGGCTTGGCTTGGCTTGGTTTGCCGTGGCTCGCCTTCTTCAATATTCATATCATCATCTTCACCGGAACCATTGTTTATCAATAGCGTGTACAAGATGAATGACTCATCTGCCTACAGTCAATGTTTATCTGTGAATATTTTGACTCAGAGAACTTCTGTTTTAGTTGCTATATCAGCGGCTCAATTTGCTGCTCTTGTCTTGTATTTTCATCGCCTCGAACAGTTTCAAGTATTTGCACTGGTCTTTAATATAATTTCAACAATTTTTGTTATAAAAATAAAGCACTACCACTACCACTATCATTTTTTTTTTGTGTAATGGTGGACATTATGGTGGCTGTAATTCAACCTCAAAAGACTATTAATATCATTTAAAAAATCTGTGCGTTTAACTTATCAATTACCGTATGCACTTTAAATATGTTTAAAAACAGAAATAAAAATAAAAAATTTTTTATTAAGAAAAGTTAGTTTCTTGGTGTAATTAGTATCCACAGAACCAGTGCACTGCACCCAGCATTTTATAAATAATACAATTTTCTTACACTGTCTTATGATAACATCGTGAGCAAATGAAGGTCAAATGGTGATAACTCAAGCGAGTTCTTTATGTGGGTTTGAATTGAATTTCTTTTTAATAGGAAAAAATTATTGCAATAAGAGAACGAGATAATTGAGTCAAGAAAAAAATATTAACAAAAAATAGTTATTTTAGCGATTATTTACTTATTGATCATATGAGAATGTACAATCAAGAATAACAATCAAATCATTATATTGCATAAACACAAGATCAATAGTTAAAGATCTTATGTATTAAACCAGAATATCGCATCAGGTTATCTGATCTTAATATGCAAATCGTTTATTATAAAATTTTGTAGGAAAGCATCTGTGCGACAATCTGTGTAATTTGAGTGTCCAGATTCGCACTTTGTATCGCCTTTTAAGCTCCATTGGGTCTTTACTGCATTGCTTTTTATTGTTGATGTGTGGAGTCCATTTTAATTACATCTTGCTTTCTGTGGCAATTTGGAATTAATTAGTAAGTAGTAATCATCTAGTAAGTATAATGGACTGAAGTTGTACAAGCTAACGTGCAAGTTTTTATTAATTTAGAATCCGGTAATGCATAACTATTATAGGTTAAACCATAGGAATTCTCTTCAACTTTACTTTTAAAATTGACACATTGCCCAAATAAGCATTTAGCGAAATATTTATATTGCTAGTGACTTTGTTCTCATACGTCTATGGTCATCATTTCCTAGGAAACTTTAA